AATAAGTGGACTTGTTTACAACAACACAAAGACTACAAGACTCTCATTCATCCGTCATGGGACAACAGCGGCGCGTCAACGAGGGTTTCCGGACAAAATGCCTCAGTGGCTTAAAGCGTTGGCTTAGCCTCTACATTCAAAGTCAAAACTGTTTTTCTTTTACCGGCTGGAAACACCTGCCGAGCCCCCAAAGGTTCCTACCCTATATAGGCTGACCCGCCCATCAATCAGATGCTGCCATACATCATAAATCGCCTCTTACAGGTAGTGTGTCTATGTGTACATCGAAATATGAATGATCTATGTGTACATCGAAATATTAGTGTGTCTATGTGTACATCGAAATATGAATGATCTATGTGTACATCGAAATATTAATGATCTATGTGTACATCTAAATATTAGTGTGTCTATGTGTGTCTAAATATTTATGATCTAAGGCTGACTCCCAGCCGCCGTCCTCCTCTTCTTCATCAAATTCACCTTCCATTTAACAACAGTCAACCAGATCGTATGTATTTTACCTGAGCAGACAGCTATGTTCTGAAAGTTTATACTAACCTTCCAGAGAAAATGTTTGTGTCCACGAGCTTATGTTAGCCTCGCAGAATCTATGTATGCTGAAAGTTTATACTAACCTTTCAGAAATTTTTTTTTTTTGTCCACGAGCTTATGTTAGCCTCGCAGAATTAATTTATGCTGAAAGTTTATACTAACCTTTCAGAAATTATTTTTTTTTTGTCCACGAGCTTATGTTAGCCTCGCAGAATTAATTTATGCCGAAAGTTTATGCTAACCTTCCGGAGTTAATGCGTCTGTGAGTTTATGTTAACCTCTCAGACTCAACTATTAGGTCTGTCTGCCCTCCTTACAACATACTTCCAAAACTGTTTTCTTAAAGTACATTTCTCAACACATTTCATTCATCTATTCAATCACTCCTCTCTCTCCCCCTCCACACTCCCATGTACCACATGATGTATGGTAAACGTGTGACAGGAGTAAAATTGGCAAATAAGTGGACTTGTTTACAACAACACAAAGGCTACAAGACTCTCATTCATCCGTCATGGGACAACAGCGGCGCGTCAACGAGGGTTTCCGGACAAAATGCCTCAGTGGCTTAAAGCGTTGGCTTCGCCTCTACATTCAAAGTCAAAACTGTTTGTCTTTTACCGGCTGGAAACACCTGCCGAGCCCCCAAAGGTTCCTACCCTATATAGGCTGACCCGCCCATCAATCAGATGCTGCCATACATCATAAATCGCCTCTTACAGGTAGTGTGTCTATGTGTACATCGAAATATTAGTGTGTCTATGTGTACATCGAAATATGAATGTGTCTATGTGTGTCTAAATATTTATGATCTAAGGCTGACTCCCAGCCGCCGTCCTCCTCTTCTTCATCAAATTCACCTTCCATTTAACAACAGTCAACCAGATCGTATGTATTTTACCTGAGCAGACAGCTATGTTCTGAAAGTTTATACTAACCTTCCAGAGAAAATGTTTGCGTCCACGAGCTTATGTTAGCCTCGCAGAATCTATGTATGCTGAAAGTTTATACTAACCTTTCAGAGAATTTTTTTTTTTGTCCACGAGCTTATGTTAGCCTCGCAGAATTAATTTATGCCGAAAGTTTATACTAACCTTCCGGAGTTAATGCGTCTGTGAGTTTATGTTAACCTCTCAGACTCAACTATTAGGTCTGTCTGCCCTCCTTACAACATACTTCCAAAACTGTTTTCTTAAAGTACATTTCTCAACACATTTCATTCATCTATTCAATCACTCCTCTCTCTCCCCCTCCACACTCCCATGTACCCCATGATGTATGGTAAACGTGTGACAGGAGTAAAATTGGCAAATAAGTGGACTTGTTTACAACAACACAAAGACTACAAGACTCTCATTCATCCGTCATGGGACAACAGCGGCGCGTCAACGAGGGTTTCCGGACAAAATGCCTCAGTGGCTTAAAGCGTTGGCTTAGCCTCTACATTCAAAGTCAAAACTGTTTTTCTCATTCCGGCTGGAAACACCTGCCGAGCCCCCAAAGGTTCCTACCCTATATAGGCTGACCCGCCCATCAATCAGATGCTGCCATACATCATAAATCGCCTCTTACAGGTAGTGTGTCTATGTGTACATCGAAATATGAATGTGTCTATATGTGTCTAAATATTTATGATCTAAGGCTGACTCCCAGCCGCCGTCCTCCTCTTCTTCATCAAATTCACCTTCCATTTAACAACAGTCAACCAGATCGTATGTATTTTACCTGAGCAGACAGCTATGTTCTGAAAGTTTATACTAACCTTCCAGAGAAAATGTTTGTGTCCACGAGCTTATGTTAGCCTCGCAGAATCTATGTATGCTGAAAGTTTATACTAACCTTTCAGAGAATTTTTTTTTTTGTCCACGAGCTTATGTTAGCCTCGCAGAATTAATTTATGCCGAAAGTTTATGTTAACCTTCCGGAGTTAATGCGTCTGTGAGTTTATGTTAACCTCTCAGACTCAACTATTAGGTCTGTCTGCCCTCCTTACAACATACTTCCAAAACTGTTTTCTTAAAGTACATTTCTCAACACATTTCATTCATCTATTCAATCACTCCTCTCTCTCCCCCTCCACACTCCCATGTACCCCATGATGTATGCTAAACGTGTGACAGGAGTAAAATTGGCAAATAAGTGGACTTGTTTACAACAACACAAAGGCTACAAGACTCTCATTCATCCGTCATGGGACAACAGCGGCGCGTCAACGAGGGTTTCCGGACAAAATGCCTCAGTGGCTTAAAGCGTTGGCTTAGCCTCTACATTCAAAGTCAAAACTGTTTTTCTCATTCCGGCTAGAAACACCTGCCGAGCCCCCAAAGGTTCCTACCCTATATAGGCTGACCCGCCCATCAATCAGATGCTGCCATACATCATAAATCGCCTCTTACAGGTAGTGTGCCTATGTGTACATCGAAATATTAATGATCTATGTGTACATCGAAATATTAATATGTCTATGTCAACAATTAAATATTAGTGTGTCTTTGTGTACAGTCACTTCGTCTCTTGTCTGTTACTTGTTCGTTAGTGCACTTTATGCTTAATATTTTTCTTTTTAACTTTTTAATATTTACATTTTTTTAACTTTATTCCCTTGTTTTATACGAACCCATAGCCTTAGCCTTATTCTACTAACCCATTGCATTAGCATTTCATTCCACTTTATTTTATTACTTGTGCACTGTTGTCCTGTCTGTCTACTGTCGCGCACTAACCGCCAAGACAAATTCCTTTTATGTTTGAGATATTTTGGCTAATAAATGTTTCCTGATTCCTGAATCCTACATCTAAATATTAGTTTGTCTCTGAGTATGTGTGTGTGTGTGTGTTGTGCGCTTATCTGAGTCATGCGTAGATCTGGCGCTGCTCCTGAGGGGGCGACTCTCAGCACATCCTGATGGCGTGGCATCCTGATGGCGTCCTGATGGCGTGACGTCCTGATGGCGTCCTGATGGCGTGACGTCCTGATGGCTTCCTGATGACGTCCTGTTGGTCTGCAGAGACAAGGAGAAGAGACGTGAGGAGGATCATCAGGATGTGAGACAACATTCATAGGTCCAATTATTTTAATTTGATACACTTTTGTTTAATTATTTCATGTTTCTATGTGTGTGTAAGTCTACATTATATATTTGTGGTTTTTAAGGTGTATTTCTGTGTATGCTTTTCATGTTTTGTGCATCTCTGGGCCTACCAACACTGTAAGTGTGTTATATGTTCTGTTCAGAGGGGTCAAAAGTATTCACATTTATTACTCAAGTAGAAGTACAGATACTAGGGTTTAAAAAGACTCCTGTAGAAGTTGAAGTATCGACTCAAGCTTTTTACTTAAGTAAAAGTAGCGCCATTTATCTAGATGGGTTTTTTTTGTGTTTTTGAACATGGGACAAGCCGGAAGTAATGAGGCTGTTTTTAAGATTTAAGGAGTAGAAAGTACAGATATTTAAGTGGAAATGTAAGGAGTAGAAGTAAAAAGCCGTCTGAAAATAAATACTCCAGTAAAGTATAGATAACCCAAATTTCTACTTAAGTACAGTAACTTGACAACTCTGGTCTGTTATTTGTGTGTGTGTCTCTGTGTAAATACCTTTATGTGTGTGTGTGTGTGTCTCTGTCTAAGTACTTTTATATGTGTGTGTGTCTCTGTGTAAGTACTTTTATACGTTAGTGTCTCTGTGTAAGTACTTTTATATACGTGTGTCTCTGTCTAAGTACTTTTATACGTTAGTGTCTCTGTGTAAGTACCTTTATATATGTGTGTCTCTGTGTAAGTACTTTTATATACGTGTGTCTCTGTGTAAGTACTTTTATATGCGTGTGTCTCTGTATAAGTACTTTTATATGTGAGTGTCTCTGTATAAGTACTTTTATATGTGTGTGTCTCTGTGTAAGTACTTTTATATGTGAGTGCCTCTGTGTAAGTACTTTTATACGTTAGTGTCTCTGTGTACATGTACATGATAACAGCAGGAATCAGAGGTTTATCACAAGGTACTAACTCTACGTCACAGCTTCCCTTACCCGATAGTACAAACACATGATTCACAGCAGTACGGCTGCAGTCTGTCTGGATTTCTCACTTACCTCGAGCTCTGTTGAGTGCAGCAAAACGCGTCTTCATCTCCTCTTCAGACTCCTGAGGCGTGACGATCGCTTTCTGCAGTTTTCTGTCCGGAAAACTTCAGTGTGTGCAGATGTGAGGTTTGAAACTAACTGACTAAATGTGCCTCAGACTGTGTTTCTTATACTGTGGGGAATGGAGCATAGAACACGGAACATGGAGCACAGAACACGGAACATGGAACATAGAACACGGAACATGGAGCATGGAACATGGAGCATGGAATTTGGAACACGGACATGGAACATGGAGAAATCCTGATGTCACCTGTCTATGTTTACAGTGAAGGTATCTAGAATATAGAAATGGGCCTTTAAAGTAAACGTGTGTGTGGACGGTGTATTTGTATTGATGGAGCTCATCCACTTCACATGGTGCATAAAACACTTTGCTGTACCGTTTCTTTTTCTATGACCCTTTCATCTTGATCTTGAAAGCAAAGGCTTTAAAGAATCAATAAAGAACGATTTTTGAGTTTTGTCCCAATGGAAACCAAAAATTCGGCTCAGGCCGCCAAGGCCAGTCAAGTCGGAAATGTTTAAACTCTTGAATCCAAATTTTTAAACATCCCTTTCGAGCCCTCTTGTCTCGACGGTCCGAACGGTCCGGTCGACGGAGGGGTGCCCCAAAGTCGATACCCCCCCCTGTCGGTACCCCCACGTTGTTATTTTTACAACTTTAACTACAAACTATGAACAATATATGAACTGTTCAAAGTTCACAGATTACAGCGTTTCCCCTCTGTAACAGCCGGAAGTGTAGTTAATTGGAATTTGGGGAATATTATTCATTCAATTTTAGATGCATGCTCATTGAAACTAAAGATGTAACATACATTGAAAAGCATTTACGTTAGATTGATGCTCCTTGTTCGTCTCAAAGTGTTGACGTGCAGCACAGAAGAGCTCCGGTACGGTAGTTACTCGAGATACCTTTACTGGCAAGTATGTCAACGTTAGCTTACATTTCTGTAATGTTGGTGTCCAGTTAGCATGTCTAACGTTAGCATACCGAAGATTTTGGCGGATGGGACTGCCGGTTAAATGTTCTAACTCAAAGTGATGTAACGTTAGCTGCTTATTAGCAATTTTGCGCATGCTTACATTAGCTACAAGGTTTCCCCGGTCTCAATTTCTGGATTACACCACAACCTCAAGGTAATGTGGTTTATGTTAACGTTATGTAAAATTGGGTTTTAGCTGCCTCAGAAAGTCCGCATTTACTGGCGCCACCTGCACGTTTTCCTTTGTAAATACCTGCCCTCTCGTACAGCGCGGAGGCACATTAGCGCAACTACACTGAGCCGGGTGAGGCTACATTAGCTTGTTACCAAGCTAATTATACGACTTGCACCCAGGTCTCTGTTAAGACTCACGTTACATCAGCCGGTGTTTGCGTGTTTGACGCGGTAGTTCATACATTTGTCAGCAGTGCGGGGTCCTACTCTTGGACTAAATTAGGTCGGGGGTGGAGGTAATTGCTAAAAAAACAGAGACTGTACCATGTGTGTTCCAAAACTGAATATAAAACCAACATCTATGAGAACTTCAAAAGCCATAAATGTAGAAAACACTCCGGTGCAGGGAATATCTTTAATCTTAAGGGGAATTTTTCTGTATTTTGTCATCTTTTAGTCATACATATTTATGATTATTTAGCTATTGTCTTAAATAATTGATGCCCTCGTAAACTTTTTTTCATGAACAGAGGTAGTGGATTTTAATTTTGTGTTCAGAACAAAATGATGAATTAGCCTAATCAATAAGTTATCACAGTGGAGGACTTGTGCCAGTGATATGATTGTCACATATCTGGTGCATAACAGTGCGAAGTGATGCCAATTATATTTTGTCTTTGTCGTGTAAACATGTGTAGGACTCAAGTGCAGATGATGCTCGGAGGGACCTGGAGCAAATCACCATGGCAATATTTGTTGTCTTTCGGAAAGAGGGGAAAGGACTGCAGGAGCCACCTGAAGACATTAGCATCGTCATTGAGGGTGTGGAGGTGTTGCATCAACTGTCAAAAGCTGTCCGTTTCAGCTTGTGCCCTGCTTCTGGGATTGATACTCAACCTCTCTTACCCAAAACCACTTCATTTCACTTTTAAAGTGCTCCAGAAGATAATCATGGAGCTTGATCAGCAGAAGATGTCCCCCAAGGTCCATAATCTGTATGGCAGACTTCAAACACAATAGTGTTTCGATATGGGGCATTTCACTATTCAGCCCCTTTGGATGTTGGGCCTTTGTTAGCTCCAAGATAAAAATGTTAAGATACAATGTTGTTTTATATATATTATCACTTGATTGTATACAAATGCTTCTATCATACATATGATTTTTGGGGAAAAAGTTCAATTTCTGTCAGGTGTTCCCAAACATTGTTACATATCAGAAGGCCAAATGTGACTTGGCATGGTTATGCATTTTGTGCATATTTATGTTAAAAAAAACACTGGAAACAAATACAAGCAATACATTTTGAAAGCCATCAAATTTGACTCTGTCATTTTTCTTTTAGCCAACTTAAAATTGGCCAAAAGTACAATTTTACACCAAGGATACTACAAAAATTAGCTTTTATGAAACCATACTTTTAGGTTGTAAAGACGCAGTATTTTACTTTTGGGTAAAGTAAATATTTGAGTTGGAAAAACTGTAAACTTTAGGTTGACTTGTTTTGATTTTGAGTTAAAGTAATGCAAAATATTGATTTGAAACACATCGAATTATTACATCCATCTGACTAAAATCAATTGTGTTAATAGAACTTGTTAACTTCATTTGGAAAAACCTAATTCATTCGTGTGTTACCAATTCAAATAGTTCAATTAAGTTGGTTCAACTATTTGCTTTTTTCAGTGTACCAAAAAACATGGGCATTATAGTCTTTGGCACTGCGTTTATTAGAGGCTGTTTAAGCCACAGATTATTGTACACAAGGTGGCTTCTGCAGGGGTCCTGTTTAGAGAGAACTGAAGAGGGGGAACACTTCACACCAGGCACGTGAACAGATAGACCCCTCTAGTGGTGCTCAAGCACCTGCCCTTTTGCCCTGCAGTGCCCCTTCTGCTGGAGCACAATTGTTTCTTCATTCATCAATACTTTTTGTTTTGATATCCGACGGGGCATTTATTTGACTTCTGAGTTTCGCCCCGAACTGCTCCGCGGCGCTCACAACACAACATAAGCGCCGCTGAAAACATTACGTTGCAACTGGTCTGCCGTGTCCTAAAAAATAAACAAATGGAAAAAGTCACAAAATCCTTGATTTCAAAGCCTTTCGTCCAGCTGTCATGTTTAATGAAGAGAGACAGAGATGCAGACAGACAGGCAGAGAATTTATTGACAGTTTTACAAATTAGACAGAGGGGCGGTTAATTGACCTCTTTCTCCATGTGCCCTTTGCAAAGTTCCCCCGGCCCATTCTCCACCTCTCGTAGGTTAATTGAAACAGACGGAGCGAAAGGCTCTTTTCTGATCTGCATGTTTTCTTAGAGAGCTTTATAATTGTGGGATAGTTAACCGAGTCTCCTGCATTCATCAAGCGGTTGTGGAGAGCGTGGAGTCATCACACACCTGCCTTTTGAAGAGAAGAACAATTCCATAAACACTAAACATCCATCTCACCCTCTACATTTTTAAATTGATGTTTATGCACCAATAAAACATTTAATGTAAATGTTGGCAAAAGATTGATTACAGGGTGAGTATTGATCTTCTTGACACATCAAAGCTGAATAAAACGGAGCGTGTGGAAAATAATGCAATATTGGTATAAAGGAACTACTGTTCCTAGGTGTTCTCTGTCTGCTCATTAAAGTCGATTCAGTATTCGGTTTGATGCTTCGGGAGGTTTCATTCATGGGTTTGCGATCCGACGTGTTCAGCCTTCCGGAGTAGATGAGTTTCTGTTTCACTCCTGAAGGTCGTTTGCATTTCCGTCTTTGACGGCAGGCTGGTAAGGAATAAAAATGTCCATTCATAGTTTTAGCGACTCAATTTTAATTGCCATCTCAATCAAATCCCAACACAAACCTGTGTCCAAATATAATATGTATATATATTATATTCAATTTTTGTCTCATCAGCAGATTTATTACTTTGCTGCCATAAGCAGAAAAATCCAGCCTTTTCTCTTTCAGAAGCCTCCATAAAATATTACCAGAGTAAAAGTAGTGCCATTAGAACGATATCAGATGTGCGGTCACATCTTGGCACAGCGGATGAGGGAGCTGCTCTCTGCCGCACCTTTGTTCATTACTGAAAACGGCGCCTCTTGGCTTCTGCAGCACGCCGAGCCGCCAGCTGAATTCGTTTATGCTCACTCAAGTGCTTTCACTCCAGCTTCTGAGAGCGAGCGTGGCCTTTTCTTGCTGCCCAGTGCTCCAGGTATCACTCCAGTGTCCTCCGCATGAAGACGGATTCAAGGATCAGCTCAGCAGTTCGTTAGCTCGGCTGCGTACGGGTTGGGAAGGGGGGGGGCGGACTGGAGACTGACGGAGCAACGGATGCGGAAATGTCCTCGGGCGAAGGAACTGAACCCCAATTTGCGGCCTGGAGGCCTCTTGAGAAGGTAGAACCGGCGCGGTGTGAGTGCGCTCACCGTTCACTACCAGCTACCCAGCCTCTGTCCCCGTCCCGTCTCTACGGCGCTCCTTCCAAGGGCCGAGTGAACTGGCCCCTGGTGCTCGGACGTCATTCAACGTTGGCCCCCTCGTCCCCGGAGCACGAGAGAGAGCAAATGAAAGGAACAGATTACAAATACTGTGATTATATGAGGATATTCAACTCCTCAGTTTGGGGGTCCTGTACCCCAAGTAAAGCTGAAACTCAATGACTATAATAAATGCATTTTTGACAGATATCACAGCCTTTATATAAACATGTAATGCTTCTTGAAATCACACTCCGTAAATCAAAGGAGAAGATTCAGAACATAATTCATCATTAAAAAAAGATATTGGTATTGATAAAAAATAATGTCAATACTTTCATATGATTAATTATTTGTCTTACAACATATTACAAGCATCATTTTAGGACTAGTTATTTACTCTCAGTTCTGTCTCCCAAAGAGATGAATGTGTTCAGCCGAGCAAACGCACAAGTGAGCTTGAACACAACGTCCTCTGGTCTGTCGTGTTCACGACACGATAACCACGAAGAAAACAAGTGTTTCCGCTGCCGCAGTGAGCAGGTTTCAGTTTTTCTCTTTGAAAATCCGTCCGTGCTTTTCTGTGGAAGTTACCGAATAGATTGTCCTCAGCGTTAAATACAAGCTGCAAAACAAACGTTTTTTTTAATTAAATAATTTATACTGAAAGATAATCAAAGAGTAATGTCTCTAGCCGAGTGACCTTTCTACAATTTGTTTGCACCAGAGGGAAATTGGATGAAAGCGAAACCTGTAATCCTTACAAAAGGCAAGTCATACCTCCATAAGCTGTGTGTAGCCTATAGTCAACATCTACTTTCATCCTTCTTAAGGATTTGGCTCCATTTCTCTTACTGGTATCCAGATTAGTGGAGACGGAAAGAGGATTTTCAATGTGTCCAATTTGTACCCTTTTCGAATGAAGATAGATCCTCCTTCATATCTATCCAACCTGTAAATCTAATAAAAAAAAGTATAACAGATGTTCATGTCCTTTCCTCACATTTAAACATATTTTCATTTGTAATTTAAGACGGCTTTTGTACCGTTTTAGATCGAAGACGGGAACGAAAACGCATCCAACCATCTGGCCGTCCTCCCGCACTGTGGTGTGTACGTACACCGTGACGCTGGGTGACACAACATGAAGTCTCCTCAGTGTTATTGTCACTGCTGTGAAGACCATTTCTTTCCAGGAACAAGAGAGCACAGGTGGGCAGATAATAATCCGCTAATTAGTTTATTAATAACTGCTCGGGCAGCGATGGCAGGAGACAAAAGCGTTGCAGGTTGCAGGTTCCAGGCCTCCGATGTTTTTTGTGAATCAGATTTACAGAAATGCTGTTATGAATTTCCAGCTGGGGTTTTGTAAACCGCAGATCTCGATGTGAAGTTTCCCTCGATCTGGATCCTCCACACGTGACGGATTTCATGAGGCAACATTTTCACGCCTTAATGTACAAACACATTGAAGATAATCCTTCTATTTGGCAGCTTGAGTAAGATAGGGAATCTTCACCTGACAGGGTCATGTGGTTTTGACGGCGTGTGTGAAGGCAGATGTATAAATGTTTATGATAAAACACTGACGCAGTGACACAAGCTGAACCCGTGATCTATGAGCATTACATTCTAAGTTAAGTTCATTTTAAGCAGCAAAAAACACTGAATTAAAACACCATTGTCTTTCCCGTGACCCTTGACACTGTTTTTTTTAGCACTCCCATTTTATACCCATTAACTTACACAAATAGTTTGCTGGGGCTGAAACATAATCACATTTATAGCAGCGCTCACATTTCACCAAACCAACTAGGCGCACAATGCTGCAGCTTTAAATCAACTTGTGTGCTAAAAGGACATTTTCTTATAAACTAACATGACAGGAATGATTTTGGCCACAGCAGCTGTGCTGTCAGGAGGTGAAGACTGCTGGTCCACCTTCTCTCACTGTGAGCGTGAGGCGGAAAGGTTGTTGTTTGGCCCTGCAGACATTTGTAACAAGGTACTACAAGTCTGGGACGTAATTCCTGCCTATTAGAATCAATAGTTGTGAGGCGTTAGTGTGAATTATCTTCAAAGTCCTCTAAAGCAGCCTCATTAAACCATAACAGGCGCTTGTCTCTGACATCAGATGGAATCTGCTGATCTTAAAGGAGGATGTAAAACATTTATTACACTCTGGAGAAAATCTGCTTGCTTTAAACTTTCCTTAGTGTCCCAAATATGCCTGTGCTCTCGGTTAGCAATATTACTGCCCCGTTGTATGATTGTGTAATTACCTTTGAGTTATTCTCTGCAAATACGATGAGATGATGGTTGTTGATTAGCAGCTTCTGTCTCAAGTTGATGCAAATTGAGTAGGTTGCGTATGAAAAACACTCTGCAATTAACTGTATGACAAAAAGCTCATGGGTGCACTTCATATCAGCCGTGTCCGTCGAGCGTTTCTATTTTTGGTTGTAGTTCAAGAAAAGTAGTGAATGTAACGTCGTGTAACTTTGGGCCTCACACCCAAGCTGAGAACCACGTACTATTCTGAGTAACTGTACAAATGTTTAAAATGAGCAGTAAAATGCTGTTAACACTCGACTCATATTATCAATCTCATGTCAAATAATATATTATTTATAAGGGCCGTCTCTCATGCAGCATGATGGTCCCACTCATGTACATGTACTTGAGTGTGTACTTGCAGGATTTGGAATACAGGCGTTGCACTTGTTTATTCACACCAATGTACACTTAAAGGGTCTGAATGTCGTCCTTCACTGCCAACAGCTTCCTCACCGTGACTCTTTGCACTGCCGTCCTAGCTTGAGTTTGTGTTCCAC